CAGCTCCTCTACGCCTCCGGCTTCCTCTTCATGTCCGCCACCGAAGAACAAATGGCCCTCGTCGCCGGTTCGGGAATCGACCACGTCGCTTACGTTTTGATCATCTACTCTCTCGCCTTTATTCTGTTCCTCTTTGTCAACATCTTGATTCACCTCTACGACCGCACGGCGAACGCTGATACCCTCAACAAGTCCGCTGTTACCAATGGGAACGGAAACGGTTCGATTAGGTTGAATGGTCATGCCGGGGGTAGTAGGACGGCGACTGCTGGCAATGCGAATGCGGACGCGCACCTTAGGGATGCGGGCGAGTTTGAGTTGGAGGGGTTGATGAGTGAGGATGAGGATGATGATGATGTTGCGTCGAGGAGGAATTTGTTGAAGGGTGAGAGGGAGGGGGGTGGGATTGCGAGTCCTGGGGCGGCGGCGAGGAGGTGATCACCTCTAGGTCGGGTACAAGAAGAGGGTGGGGGAGAGGGAAAGGAGAGCAGATGATAAAAGCGGGTATATAATACAAATGGAGATGGAAGCGGGGGGTGGTATAAATAATGGAGGATTCGAGTGTATATGCATTATTACTGTACTGGCTTTTGTTTGGGAAAAGGAGTCCGGTTTGCGCATTTCGTTAGAGGCGGCCTGGCTGGTTACTTAGTCTAGAGATGCGGACAAGGAGGTCTGGTGGGCTGGGTGCATGGTGTTGGTGACGGGAGCATCTCTTTTGTCAGTAGGAAAATAAAGGGTAATACATATTTTGGTTATTTCAAGGTCCGGGGTCTTTCAGCTTCGTCGATCGGGACGGTGTTACGGAGTGGTCTGCGTCCCCCAATGACCCGGGCCGTGACGGCTCACGGAGCGGAACAGCGGGATGGTGTTACGGGTTCACGAGCCCCTACATTCCCGACCTCTAGCAGATCCATGTCGTCCCAAGCTCCGAGCTGCCTGGGTGTGATAGCCCGGAGGCCTGGCATCTACGGCTTAAGAGAATGGAGAAGTAGGCATCATTCAGAAAGACTCTATCGGCATCGTTCGAAATTTGACAGCTATATATCTTCAGTCACTTTCGGTCACGAATATCCGGTCTTCAGCAACGGCCCTCCGTCGGTACAAGTATAAAACACCATAAATCCTGTCTTCGTCATCCTATCCCAGCCAACCATAATAAGACGCCTCGCCATTGCTGCCTCCCGCCAATCCAGCGATAAGACGCGGCAGCGAGAGGATTCTCATTCTGATCTCGATGAAGTTCCATGGGAGGATGCAGTCAGCTCTTGGAGCCTTGATAGTGGATTACCTGGAGGGGCTTCGATGTAACCTCATCCTTTCTGAGCATCCGTGGACACTACGAGCAACAAACACCATACGGAAGATCGACAAGAAAATAATCGAGAGTAAATCGATAGAAACTTTTTGCATGGAAGAAGCAACCTGTAAAAGCTTTGATTCGACATGGATTGTACGGAAGGTTCCATATCTTCTACCTTGCGCCGTCTTCCTCACAACATGAAGCTTAATCCTCGGTGGCCAACGACAAATATCCAGTCAGGTCTCGTCAGCTCAGCCGCCCGAGATACAGCATACATAGGCCATGAAGAATTAGTAGAAACATCACCCACTTCGGACCTCTCAGTTTCTCCTCTATACGTATATCGATCTCACATCACATTTCACGATCCTCAGATGCGGTTTTTTGCGTTGTTTAATGCCTGGAGCTAATGCGATGTCCCTATCTTTGCACTTCCTTCGTCTTCTTTAGTGGGACAGGGGTACGGGAACCGATGCTACGATGGATGAGTACCAAGACGACGACAAGAAAAAGGGCATGAGAAGTGAGTGCCCTCACTTCCCTTATGCGCCCAAGAAAAGGATGGTGGAAATGGTTGCGTGGGGCCATCGTGAACGTATTGATGGCTTACAGCAGTTATTTTGAGAGAAGGCACTGTCAGAAACCAGGAGCAACGTGCTCTGCTCAAAACCGAAAGGAAGGCTATTCCTGTGAAGCGGGCTCAAAGGCGGGACTAAGCCTTACCACGCCGACATATTCCCTCATCCCGCCGGGTATATATCTTATTAATCACTAGCACCCAACAACCACAACTACCGCAACCACAAAACCGGTTTCTATATCGTCTAAAAGCTGACATGAAGAGAGGCTCTTCCGCTAGCTTCATTCCTTCGTTCCTCATCTGCATCCGCTCCTGGTACAAAAAAATGAACACGATGGCCGTTAGCCGAGCCTCATCCTCACAATGACCATATCTCCCGTCGGCGATTGGTTTAAACCCATGCCTGATATGGAACCTTCAAAACGGCAATGTAAGCAACAATAAGACAAGGACAAGAAAAACTGCGATATCAATTCCTTGATGCCCTCCGCCTTTTCGTCTTACATCGTCTTACATGCAGCGGCCAGGGTAACATTGAACCGTTCCATAACAACTTTGGAGTGTTCATGCCAAGCATGTCGACGAATCCTACGGGATACCGTAGGCACCGTGATGGCGCGGGTGTGCGGTTGGTTTTCAGTGGAGGGGAACTCAGGTTGGGGATCGCGATGTCATCCGCTTGGACGACACCGGGCTCGCAAGTTCACTCGGGGTATATATACAGGCCGTTGTCTTCCTCCAGGTCTTCTTCTGCTTGCCCTTCGTCAACTCCTTACCTCTTTCCCCCTTCTTCTTTTCGAACCGCCTCTCAGGGCTGGCTGGCAAGAAGATGGCCTCCATCCTCCTCTACGCTCTCACGGCGCTCTTTCTTGCGGTCCTCTTCAAAATCCGCAACGTCGGAATCCGTCCCAAGGACCTCCCACCCGGTCCTCCAACCAAATGGCTCCTCGGCAACCTCCTCCAGATGCCCAAGGAGAAGGCCTACCTCCAATTTAAGAAGTGGGCGGATGAATACGGACCCATCTACACGCTCATCCTCGGCACTCAGACCACCATCGTCTTGACCGATGCCGAGATCGTCAAAGAGCTCTTGGATAAGCGCAGCGGGATTTACTCGAGCAGGGCAGAGGCGTATTTGAGTAGGGTAGCTAGCAAGGGACTGCGTATGGCCGGCTGGGTACGTCTTCCTTTCCCCCCTTTTCCCTCTTACCTTTCACCATCAACTAACAGCACGCGTCAAGTTCTACGGCGACCAATGGCGCCGCGCCCGCAAAATCCTGCACTCAATCCTCAACATGACCTCCTCCCTCAGTTTCCGCCCCTACCAAGACCTCGAAAACCTATCCTTACTAGCCGCCATCCTCGACGACGCCCCGTCCGCCTCCACCGACGCCGGCGCCGGCACTCTATTCTCCCACTTCCGCCGCACCTCCCACTCTTTGGCTACATCCATCTTCTACGGTTTTCGCATCCAAGACTCCTCCGACCCGCGGTTGTTGCAGATGTATCAAAACCTGCAATATTTCTCCGACTTGAACGGCGCGCAAGCAGCAGCGCTGTTGGATGTTTACCCTGTGTTACGGCACTTGCAGCGGTTTTTGCCTATTTATCGCCATGCTAGGGAGGTGGGGGAGAGAACTTCCCAGTTCTTTCTCAGTCTGTGGATGCCAGCCAAGGCAAAGGTGTTAAACGGGACGAGCCAACCGTGTTTTGCCATCTCGATGGTTAAGGCGCAAGAACAAGGTATCACAGACGAGGAAGCAGCGTTTATCATTGGCAACGCTGGACTAGAAGCGGCGAGTGATACGACGTCTAGCACGTTGGCGGCGTTTATAATGGGGGTTGTTATGTATCCGGAGGTGCAGAGACGGTTGCAGGCGGTTGTGGATGAGATTACGGAGGGTGGGAAGAGGATGCCGGAGTTGGGAGATTTGGAGGATCCGAGGGCGCAGTATATAAGGGCGTGCGCGAAGGAGAGTTTGAGGTGGATGCCGACGGGGATTTTGGGGGTGCCGCATGCGGTTATTAGGGATGATGAGTTTAGGGGGTGGAGGATTCCGAGGGGGGCGAGTGTGGTGTTGAATATTTGGTGAGTTCTTTCCTTTCCCCGTTTGGTGTATGGTAGGGGGGAAATGATGCTAACAGACGACACAAAAGGGGGATTAATACCGACGAAAAGAGATACGCCGACCCGCACACCTTCAACCCAGACCGCTTCCTCCACGACACGCAAACCTCGTCCAAAGCCGCTCTCAACCCGGACGTTTCCCAACGCGACCACTACACATTTGGCGCCGGCCGGCGCATCTGCCAGGGCTTGCACGTGGCGGACGACTTTATGTTCCTCAGCATCGCGCGGTTGATGTGGGCGTTTAACTTTGATCGGGCTGTCGACCCGGACACGGGAGAGGAGATTGTGCCGGATAGGTTGGATTTGATTGGCGGGCTTTTGGTGCAGCCGGCGCCGTTCAAGATGAGGATTACCCCGAGGAGTGAGAAGAGGGCGCAGATGGTGAGGGAGAAGTGGAGGGAGGTTTGTGAGGAAAAGTTGGATGGGGAGATGCAGTGGAGGAGCGTGCCGGGGGAGATGTATAGGGTTTTTCCTAGTATGGGGGAGGTGAAGGCCTAAGTTCTAAAGTAAGGAAGGGATGGGGGTTTTGAGGAAGTGCATGGGGGAAAATATCTCGGGGTTGGGATATTGATGTAGCTAGCTGCACGATATGCCAACAACTGGGCTCCCGTCGAAATCAATTATAAATTAAAGCCAGTCCGATGTCCAATATTCGTCATTGAGAAATGAGAAATGTTATACCAAGGAATGGTTACCTGAAGAATTATCGTCCTCCCGATGAGTGATCGTGAAGCGTTGTCGCCGGAAGAGAGTTGCAAACGACAACCACCACCACCAACTTCAGCGCTTTGACCCTCCGTTCATCCCATTACCAAGACCAAACAAAAAGTACCCCACATCAGCATCCACAATGACATCCACCTTTTATCCTGCAAGCTTTCAGTTTCAGCTCCTTCCCTTTTGTATAACTTCACAAGCGGCTGCCACGTTTCCACATGCACATAAGCTCAACAAATAAGGCGTTATTTCAACAATAACCACTACAAGTCACTTTGGCGGAGTGGTTAACGCGCTGCCCTGCTATTCGCAAGAAAGCAAGTTTAGGCAGTTCCCTCGGGAGCGCAGGTTCGAATCCTGCAGGTGACGCATTTCTTTTACTTTTTTTATACCCTTTTCTACCTTTTCCTTTGTTGTGCACAATTCACTTTTCTCTTTTCTTCCTTTTTGAGTTTGCTTCTATTCTGGCTTGACACTTTGGGAACTATTGCAGCACTTCTTGCGCGCATTCTCTCCTTTGACAACTTCTCACTTGCTTTTCTGCCATACCTTTGCTTCAGTTCCTCGAACCCTTTCAACTACAGTATTCGGTCCTGCTTTCCATGCGACGACAACCAAGAATTGCGCAATTCCTCACAGACAACATCACAATGCCATTTAGCCCCTCGATAATCCCCAGTGACGAACATGATACTATTCGCAATGGGAAAACGTACTATGGTAATTTCCCACGCACGGGTAACGATACCGAATGCTTCACTACCTCGCTCGCCTGCCCAAACACAGGCCAATGGCATCTCTCGCTTTACAGCTTAGCGACCAATCGCCCATTCGCATCGTTCGACGATGACAACGGGCTGAGAAGCCGGCGTCTTGGAAACGTCCCAGCCAGCTTGTCAGCTTGTTCCTTAAGAGCGGGGTTGCTAACGGCGAAGCGATGTGAGGGGCTCGAGGGGGAATTGAAGACCGAGGGGAAGGAAGCTAACCAACTCCTTGACAAAACATCACGCCATTTGTTGATGGTCTGGGTCTTTTTGATCGTCTTGGAAGATACGTGAACGAACGAACAGGTCATCAAACCGCTTTTCCCTTTTTAGATGGGCTCATGAATGAATGAGGCTCACTGAGAGGGAACTACTGCAGGGACAAGAACTCATAAAAGTAGGGCATCTCATCTCTCGAACATCAAAACGACACGAGGAAGGACTGTTACTCTTATCCAATATCATTATCCAAACACCAAACAACACCACCGCCAACATGACGGACCCAACCATAGCCAGCACCATCGCCTCCGCCATCACCGCAGCCAAAGACGAGATAGCCATCGTCAACAACCACATCCACTCCAACCCCGAACTCGCCTACCTCGAATTCACCGCCCACTCCACCTTAGTACACTCCCTCCGCCGTCTCGGCTTCACCGTCACCTCCCCGGCCTACAACCTCCCCACCTCCTTCGAAGCCGAATACTCCAACGTCAACCCTTCCGACAACAACAACGACCAAGGCCGCCTAATAATCTTCAACGCAGAATACGACGCCCTCCCCGAAATCGGTCACGCCTGCGGCCACAACCTAATCACCACCTCCTCCCTCGCCGCCTTCCTCGGCGTCGCCTCCCTCCTCAAATCCCACCCTCACCTCCCCGGCCGCGTCCGCCTCCTTGGAACCCCCGCCGAGGAAGGAGGCGGCGGGAAACTCAAACTCATTTCTTCGGGAGCCTACAAAGATTGTTCAGCCTGCTTGATGGTCCACCCGGGCCCTCAGGCCAAACTCCCCCCCGGCATAAGCGCGGTATCGTTCGTGAGGATGTTAGCAAACGTGAAATACCGCGTTTACTTCTCCGGAAGGGAAGCGCACGCTAGCATATCACCCTGGGAGGGCGTCAACGCTTTAGACGCGGTTTGTTTGTCGTACAACGCTATTAGTATGCTTCGGCAGCAGATTCGGCCAGACGAAAGAATACATGGGGTGTTTAGGGAGGCGGGGACGAGGCCGAATGTGACGCCGGCGGAGTGTGTGGTGGAGTATTATGTTCGGAGCACGACGAGGAAGGGGGCGGAGAGGCTGGGGGAGAGGGTGTTGAGGTGTTTTGAGGGGGCGGCGGTGGCGACGGGGTGTGAGTGGCGGAGGGAGGATTTGGCGGGGTATTTTGATGTGAGGCCTAGTAGGGCGCTTTGTAAGGCGTGGATGGACTCGATGAACTCGATGAACTCTGGGGAAAGGGCGGCGGAGGAGGTGCAGGTAGAAGGGCCAGGGCAAGGTGATGACGGACAGCAAGCAGAGGGAAAGACTGGGAAATGGGGGAGAGTGGCCTGGGAAGACCCCAAAGATTTCTTCCAAGGGAGTACGGATATGGGCAATGTGTGCTATGAGTGTCCGGGTTTCCATGGGGTTTTTGGGATTGAGACGGAGGATGGGGCGGCGAACCATACCAAGGGGTTCACGAAGGGGGCCGGTACGCAAGAGGCGTTTGAGAAGGCGTTGGAGTGTGGAAGGGCGATGGCGGAGGTTGGCTGGAGGGTGCTTGTGGATGAGGAGTTTGCGAAGGAGGTGAGGAGGGAGTGGGAGGAGGATATGAAGGCTGCGGCGGAGGGGAAGGAGGTGTGAAGTCCTCTAGGGGTTTGAATGGGTTTTTTTTTACTTCAGGCGTTTGGTTTTTGGGTAGATATGGCGATTGAGGGTACCAGTCCCTTTTAGTTTCGGACTAAAAGTTACGAAAGCTTTGTTATAATTCACAGCTCCTGTCAATGGGAGTCTCCTCATGTGTCGGAACGAGGAACGGGAGCATAATTATTGGGACATTGGAACATATTAAACTCTAGAACGCGTCTACATGCCTCTAGTACTCTGCTCATGTCGGAACGGGGAACGGAGATATGAACTTGACAAATGTATCATGTTGAAGTCTATCGATCGTCTACTCAGTGCTCTGCTCGCTTCTAACACGCTCTCATCCCCTCACTCCCGTTATACAACTGGCAAACCCATCTCTACTCGTCTGGCCTTGAAACGGCCTGACTGTTATGGTATAACCAAGGTAATAGTCGCGTGCCGTTTCAAGGTCAGACGAGTACAATCTCCCATCCTTTCAACACCACATCCATCCCCAACTCACACCTCCACACCCCAACCCAACCCAACCCTCCCCACACCCCCAACACCACCCCAACACCACACCACACCCTCATCACTGATTCCTAACCACAAACCTAGCCGTAGCAACCCTCATCCGCTTGCCATAGACAATGACCGGTATCAACAACAAGCTGAAAACGCCCAAAATCACCGAAAACCCGCCCCCAAACACCACCAGGTACCCTTGCTTCGCCACCCACTCGCTCACGAAAAAGGTCCAGGCGAAGGGGATCAGGCCGCGCAGGATGCAGATCATGACGAAGCAGTCGGGGGCGAGGTTGGCGTAGGAGTCGATGAGCTTTGTTTGTTTGTTAGCATAACCGGTGCGGGAAAAAAGGGGGCATGGGAGCTATGAGGGGAGGGAGAGTAGAAATATAAGCGTGGGAAGTGAAGAGCGAGACATATGTGAAGAAAGGAAAGCAAACGAGGGAAGGGAAAAAAGAGCGTGATGTGAGGGAGGAAGGAAAGGGGAAGAAGTGGAAGAAGAACTTACGTAGTTAAACCAAACCCCCGGCACCCCCGCGACCCCAAAGCTGACCATGCCAAACCCAAACACCAGTCCGAGCCAACTATACTTGTTGTTGACTATGCTTCCCTCCCCTACTCCTCCATTTCCACTTCCACTGCCACTAGTTAATCCCAATCCCGCACCCGCCGTTCCATTCCCAACTACCGTTCCATTCCCAACTACCGTCCCATTCCCAACCACCGTCCCATTCACACCACCACCCGCACCACCCGCACCACCACCCCCCGTCAAACCCGGTGGTAGTGGTGGTCCAAACTCCCCACAAAACGCCCAAACCAACAACCCCCCCGTGGCAATCACCAGCCCTGGCAACGCAACCATCAATCTACTTTCCGCTTCCGCATAGCCATATTCACTATTCCCTCCGAAGTTGTAAAACCCAGCAAATAACCGTTCACCGAAGGTTTTAACTCTCCCTGCCATCCCACCTCCCCTACCTTCCCTTCTATCCCTCCCTCCCCCTCGACCATCCCCTCCCCTTCTATCCCTTCCATTCCCTCCCCCTCCCTCCTTTACCCCTCCCCCTCCCCCTCCCCCTACCTCTCTATCCTTTCCCCCTCCCCCTCCCCCCTTTCCCCCCACCCCAAACCTCGAAACCCCCCTCACACCAACACCCCTCATCCTCTCATCCCCCACCAAACTCGTATACAACCCCCCCAGCAAAATGCCCATCAACGCCCCGCTAAACATTACCAACCCGGCGTGGTCTACGCCCCAACTATAGGGCGGCGAAGCGAGTAACGTTGGTCCTAAGGTGGATAAAACGGCGAAGGAACCGATGAGGGTGGAGTATTGCAGGGTTGCTACCCAGACGGGGGGAAGCAAAAGGGTGAGGAAGGGGGAGAGGAAGTGTGAGAGGAGGGAGCGGGGGGCGGTGGGGAAGGGGAGGGTTGGGTGGCGCGGGTGGGAAGGGTGTATATTGGTGTGGGTGGGGGTGGAGATGGAGGGGTTGTTGGCAAAGTTGGGGGAGTAGGGGGAGTGATAAGGGGATAGGGGGAAGGGGTTGTTGGTGGTGGTTGGGTCGATGAATGGTGGTGGTGGTGGCGGGGGATATTGTTGTTGAGGAAAGAAGCGGAGGGAGCGGAGGTAGGTGTAGGGTTCGTAATGGATGGATGAATCTTCTGATGATGGTGGGAGGGAAAAGATGGAGTTGCGGTAGGGGTTGCTGCTGCTGCGAAGGGTGAAGCGGTTGGAGCGTCCGTTGGCGTTGGCGTTGTTTTGGGGTTTGTGAAGGATGGGCCGGTTTTGGTTCCCGCCTCGACCACCTCGACTTAGTGGGCGGGTGGTGTCAATCTCGGTAGGAGGGTAAAGACGGTAGCGAGGACCTGGAACGGCGGCGGCGGCGGCTCGTCGTGCTGCTATTCCTCCTCCTCCTCCTCCTCCGGTACCTCCTCCGGCAGCAAGTATGCGAGCACCGCCAACATTCTCTCGTCCCGCTTGCCCTGCAGCGGGTGGTGGTGGCCGTAAAACAGTCGGCATCGAAGGCTCCCCCAGTCCGTGATGCGCCACAGAAAAATTGTCGTCAGACTCCTCAACAGACTCATCAGACTCCGAGGCGGTCTCGTACCAAGTCAGCCCCAGTCTTGGGTCCCAGTAATCCCGAAAGTATTGCGGCTGGCTCGTGTTGATGTTTAGCGGGGTGAAGACCCGGGTACTAACGAACCGCGACGGCATCGTCAATCTTACCGACGGCAGAGTG